GAGACAGAATGTGAAAAAAAAAAAAAAATCCATGAATTCACATGGTAGGATTTGTAAAGAATTTATTCGTAAATCAGGGTGGAAAATAAGTATTTGGTCAATAACAAAAATACAACTCAATACTTTGTAACATAACCTTTGTTGGCAATAACAGAGGTCAAACGTTTACTATAGGTCTTTACCTGGTTTGCACACACAGTAGCTGGTATTTTGGCCCATTCCTCCATGCAGATCTTCTCGAGAGCAGTGATGTTTTGGGGCTGTCGCCGAGCAACACGGACTTTCAACTCCCACCACAGATTTTCTATGGGGTTGAGGTCTGGAGACTGGCTAGGCCACTCCAGGACTTTCAAATGCTTCTTACGGAGCCACTCCTTTGTTGCCCGGGCGGTGTGTTTTGGATCATTGTCATGTTGGAAGACCCAGCCTCGTTTCATCTTCAAAGTTCTCACTGATGGAAGGAGGTTTTGGCTCAAAATCTCACGATACATGGCCCCATTAATTCTGTCCTTAACACGGATCAGTCGTCCTGTCCCCTTGGCAGAAAAACAGCCCCATAGCATGATGTTTCCACCCCCATGCTTCACAGTAGGTATGGTGTTCTTGGGATGCAACTCAGTATTCTTCTTCCTCCAAACACGACGAGTTGAGTTTATACCAAAAAGTTCTACTTTGGTTTCATCTGACCACATGACATTCTCCCAATCCTCTGCTGTATCATCCATGTGCTCTCTGGCAAACTTCAGACGGGCCTGGACATGCACTGGCTTCAGCAGCGGAACACGTCTGGCACTGCGGGATTTGATTCCCTGCCGTTGTAGTGTGTTACTGATGGTGACCTTTGTTACTTTGGTCCCAGCTCTCTGCAGGTCATTCACCAGGTCCCCCCGTGTGGTTCTGGGATCTTTGCTCACCGTTCTCATGATCATTTTGACCCCACGGGATGAGATCTTGCGTGGAGCCCCAGATCGAGGGAGATTATCAGTGGTCTTGTATGTCTTCCATTTTCTGATGATTGCTCCCACAGTTGATTTTTTCACACCAAGCTGCTTGCCTATTGTAGATTCACTCTTCCCAGTCTGGTGCAGGTCTACAATACTTTTCCTGGTGTCCTTCGAAAGCTCTTTGGTCTTGGCCATGGCGGCGTTTGGAGTCTGACTGTTTGAGGCTGTGGACAGGTGTCTTTTATACAGATGATGGGTTCAAAACAGGTGCCATTCATACAGGTAACGAGTGGGGGACAGAAAAGCTTCTTACAGAAGACGTTACAGGTCTGTGAGAGCCAGAGATTTTCCTTGTTTGAGGTGACCAAATACTTATTTTCCACCCTAATTTACGAATAAATTCTTTACAAATCCTACCATGTGGATTCATGGATTTTTTTTTCACATTCTGTCTCTCACAGTTGAAGTGTACCTCTGGTGCAAATTACTGACCTCTGTCATCATTTTAAGTGGGGGAACTTGCACAATCGGTGGCTGACTAAATACTTTTTTGCCCCACTGTATAGGGATCAGTGTGAGGCACTGATGTTAAAGAAAGCTCTGCACTGCTAGCAAGGCATGGACAAGTTTGCTTAAGGCATGACAAGTAGCCCTAAGGCAAATTAACGAACACCAAAAGTCAGATAGAAATAGAAAAACCACAAAAAGTAATGCTGCATATCTCATACACGCTGAAAGACCACAGAGCCTTTCAAACACTCAAGTTATACATAACAATAAAAAATTCTTCATGAGACCATTTTCTGCCTAAAATATTTTTAACTGGTGCCTGGAAGGATGTTAATGATGGATAGTCAAATAGTTCCCAGAGAAAAATCAATGAAAAATGATGATCCCTAGTGTGGGCAAGAATGAAGCCAAACTAGGTAAAACACCACTTTTACAATACAATTTGTTCTGCATTCCCTTTTCCAGTAATTTCACACACTGAAATTTTATATGTGCAATGCAAGCGTGTGTTTATATTGGTTCACTGTAAGGATGGGAAAGAGTAGTTTGAACATTTTTTTTTAATCTTTGAGAGGGGAGGGCCTGCAGAAGAAGTCAGAGAACCACTGGGCTAAAAGGGGTTTGATTTGTGTCTATGATGACAAGCATGTTCAGTTTTCCCACATACACTGAAAGTGCCGGCGTGCATGTGTGTTCATTTTTGTAGTTGGTATAGTGAAAGAGTAGGAATAATGCACTTTGATATAGTGATGTGCAGTTAATTATAACACCATTGTGGTAATGAATAACTGTCTCATTCTAAACCATAATATCAGGATTTACATGACTACTGCAATTGGTTCTATTGGTATTATTCTCTGTACCCCAATAGATAACAGCAAATTGTCCCCCCTTCCTGAGCCTGGTTCTGCTGAATGTGTCTCCCTGTTAAAAGGGGGTTCTTCCACCCCACTGTTGCCAAATTACTAGTCATAGAGGATCACCTGATTGTCCCATCTCTAATATCTTACAAGGTTACCTTACCATATAAAGTGCCTTCAATTATATGTATGCATAAAAATAAAACTGAACTACATATTGGTTATAAGCATCCTTAAGGTGTTGAAAAGTATATTAAGAAACAGAACCACATTTTGGTTTGTTAGAAACAAATTCTAAACTTAAGGAGTATAACTCCTTAAGTTGTTAAAGCTGCTAAATCCAACCAATCCAATCCAAGTAAAGCTTAATACACACATCTGAAATGAATCTATATAGAACCTACAAAATAGCCTATGCAAGTGGTCTTTACAGATTTGGGAACAGAGACATAAATCCACTGTAAGGCTGTGTATTTAATCAAATTAAATTCTAATGAAAATGACACTGTTTTGCAATCATGTGCTCATTTTGCCTTTAAGTAGAATTTTTAGTTTTGTTGAAATATAATTAAAAGACTAAAGAAATTGCAGGAAGCACAACGGTGTAGTGGTTAGCAAGGTTACATCACAGCCAGAAGTTCCTGGTACTGAATCCAGTCTGGTTGGTGGTTCTCTCCAGCCACTCTGACTTCCTCCCAGTCCAAAGACATGCATGGGTTAGGTTAATTGAGGATTCTGAATTAAATGTGAGCATGAATGCCCTGCAACAGACTGGCGACCTGTCCAGGGTGCATTCCTGCCTGTCATCCTACGGACAGCTGAGACAGAATCCAGCCCACTCACAACCCCGAAGTGGACAAACAGATTAAAGCTACATTTTTCCAACGCCTATATGATGGTAAATAACTGCAATCCCAACACTGAACAAAATACTTCAGATTATGATTACCATACTTTTACCATAATCAAGGAGCCCTAATAAACAGAACTGTTTAGTGTGCTTGTCCCTCCTCCATTGAAACACTCACAAAACTGTGCTACCCTCACAAAGAGAATTCAAATCTGTGGGAAACTACTGAAAAGACATTACATAACGTTGACTAACACTCATTGTAAACCTACGTCAAGCTCCTATTATGCATTTCAAATGCTTCATATATTATTAAAATGACAAGAAAAAAAACAATTTAAAAGATGTGAAAAAGATGTGAAAAAGATGAACACGAGTGGTTTATCACCCACATGCCACATAAAACCATCCAAGAGTGGCCACATCTCAGTCATCAAAGAGAAATGTGATACCTGTGAAGGGAAGTGAGAAGAGTGACAGCAACAGGGAACCTGATCACTGTACAACATCCACCCCAATAACAACGCCCACACTCATCACAATCCTCCACTTCAAATATAGCAATGGCTCAACTTTCATCACATGCAGGTACAGAAGTGAAGATCTCAGCGTGCAGTCACCATGCACACTTCTTGTGGCTGCAGTGTGCTAAGTATAGATGAACTGAGACAAAGTGTCCAGAACTAAACTGCACTGGAGACCAATTACGCAGCTCGATCAAACTGAAGTCACTGTAGACAACGTCCTCATTTCATCAGCATCCTATTAAGACTTTTTTTTTTTTGCAGATTAGTTATTCCACCAAGCAAACGCAGTGTGCATGTGTACTGGTGGATGATGAACCCTCCATGACCCAGTTACTAAGCTGTCATCCTGCAGAGGGAACAAAGAGTAGCAGCTGTCTGTCAACGGCCCGAACAGCACGTGCTTCCATCCCAAATCAGCCAGAGCGCCACAAATAAACATGCTGGCTATGGGACTGATCACACGGAGGTCGCTTCAAAAGTCAAGTCAAGTGCATTAACTCAGGATTACTTTTAGTGCTTCATGAATCTTCTTAATGTCTGAAAGTAATATGTAAGCAATAACATGACTGGATTTTTTTTAATCTAAAGATGCTGAGTTTATAGATGCTGAAATCAAAAAAAGGAATCCATGGCTGATTTTACAAGGTGGTCCAAGCAATAATTTGTCTTTTCTTCCTTGATAAATTACTTTTAAAAACACACTCAGCTCACCATTTCATCAGCCAGCTGTTCTACAGCTTTCCTAAAGAAACAGTCTCCAGCTCTAGCTTTTCAAATATCTTGCACTTTCTTTGTGAATTTCATGTAATTGTTTGCAGGTGGGTTTTATGCTTGGAAAACAATGTGACACACTATTGTTAAAAAATGTTTTTCTGTTATTTATTTCTCCTTTTTGTCATAAAAAAGGGAAACATTCACTACAAAAATGACTAAATATAAACCACTGCTATGCAAACATCAGCTGTCTGTCAACAAGGTAGATATTGATGTACACAGGAGCATCCCTCAATCTCATGATGGACATATTTATGACACTATATAGGCTCAATGATTGATTGAAAAGAACAAGTAGTGACAAGTCTATGTCGGAGGTCCAAAGTGCTGATTAATCAATTATGAAACCGATCAGCTTTACAAACAATGCTGCTGCTGCTGTGAAAGACAAAAGATGCTGCTGCAGATGAAACCCTTGCACACACAATGGGATATTTCTTTCTTTAGCTCACCTCATGGCACACACTGCTGCAATGTAAAGACAGAACACGCACACACTCCCACAAAAGTGCTTTAAATGGCCAGCCTTGTTTACCTGCTGATTCACCGGTGTTGATCCAGTCCGGGTTTGCAATGCTGGCTATTGCAAAGATATCTGCTGCCAGAAACAGACACCCCGAAATGATCGTTAGTTTATCCATGTCGCCAGCCGAGAAAGCTGTGAATGACGTGGGAAAATGTCCAAAATGTGACTCCGGGGGTGCTGAGAGACACCGTGGCCGTTATCAGTCCAACCTCGCCCCCTTCAACAGGAGCCTGCTGTTGTGGTTCTGCTGTGCATTTTGCAGCAACATTAGCTCCTTCGCGTCAGCCAAGCGAAAGCCTCCAGCTACAAAAGGCTCAAATACGAGGCACAAAAGCATCACATCTCAAGTGCTTGCTGTAGCTCGCTAATGTAAAACGATAATTTAATCAGCACCGAGCCCCCAAACAGCTTGAGTTGTTTTTTGGATCCGTTTTAACAGCTGCAGCCGCAGCAGCAGCGGCATCGGGGTACAGCTGCGGCTAGCAGGCAGCTAGCTAGCTATTTCCCAGATTCGGGCTCGGTGTGCCGAGCTGCGGCCCAGAGGCTGCTCGACGGCCGAGACCGCAACTGCGCTAGCATTTCAGGAACAATGTCACACAAACGGAGGTGCCGGAGAACAGAAGAAAGCTCCCCTCACTTGGCAATATCCGCGTTTATTTCTGTCTTTAGCTCAGGTTTGTTGTTACCCGTCAGGGAAACGAGAACCCATCACCCTCTGCTGCTGCTGGGACCCCGTTCTCCTTCTCCGCTGGAATAGCATCTGGTGCTTTCGGTCCGTTAGCCTGCCAGCCTCTACCCGACTCCTGTGTTCTCCTGCTCCGGACCACGGTGATGGGAAGCCCGGAGTTTAAAACACTGCGTATTTCAATCCAAAAGCAACGCTGTGAGTCCTAGCCTGGACGTTATTGTTATGCTTTCCACCCGTATGCCCACCGCTAGCTCAACCTCCCCTCCTGCTTGATGACATCAGGCGGACACCCCCACGCAGCGTCACAAACACACATACATACACACACACACACCTCGGTGTCTTCACGTTCGGTGGGGAGGTATCTCGCGATACTGTGTGAAGACTGGGGGTCTTTTGTCCTGAAAATAGTGCTGTGCGATCCTGCAAATGCTGGCATGGAACCGATACCAAGTAAACACAGAGCGAGTACTGCCGATACCGATACTGATACTTTTAGCCTATAATAGGCAGCTTATGATGTATGAGAGGAATCATTTGTTTGCAAACTGTGAACATATTTTAGTAATTACTAAATCACTGATTTTTATTTTCCAGAATAATTAGTTAACACCTTTCAGCTTATCATTTATTTTGAAACTGTTTTTTTTTTTTGTTTTTTGGAGACCTGGAATATAATTGTGCAGGTCTCCAAAGCGGCTCAACTTCTCTTAATTGCCCCAAAGGCTATAAATAAAATATGCCTGACAGTCAACAAAAAAGAACTTTTTTTTTTCATTTCTAAAAATAACATATTTAACACAAATCGAGTAATCCTATAAAAACACTTTTGTCTAAATAATGACCAATAATAAGAGAAAAAACACGATCTTTCATAATAAACTGCTCACTGGTTTTCATTTGAGAAATTTCAGTGTTTTAATAGTTATAACTGCACACAACATCTGCTAATTTTTCACATTTTAATTGGCCTAAAAGACCTTGTGAACTTATATCGATCCTGTCACGCTAATATCAATCCAATACCAGCATTGGTATTAATACTATATAACTGCTGTTGACTTAGACTCCCTTTTGTAAATGTTTAATATTTAGATGCAGAAAGGATTCATCTTTTTTTTTCTCCTTTTTGATTTCATAGCCATTTACTGAATGGAAAGTACAAGTTATCTTAGAGTGTGCAGGGACAACATGCCCAGAGGGAAGTTTCTCATTTAAATATCACATATTCCACTAAATAATTACAACTTTCTGCTACTTTTTTGCACAAACTCCACCTCTTGTGTGCAACTATTCATCTTACAGACACAAGTCAGCCTGCACATTAATAGGCACCTTACAGAATACACGGGGGGCATAAAATAATGCATTTGTTAAATTACAGAAAAATGTTGAGCGCATGATGAGAGCTGGCAGATGTTAAACAACCTCAGTCATCTCAGGAAGTAGAGATGGCTTAGGCCTTTACTGTAGAGGGCTTCTATGTTTTAAATGAAACCCAGTTTATTGCCAGTATGGTATTAGCTCTTTTACTGACGATCTACAAGACAACCCTCAAACGTCAACTTATGTTTGTGCGCTTTTGGGTCCCCCCACTGGCTGATGAATGAAACAAAACCTCTTGGTGCTAAAGTGCTCATTACCTAAAATAACAGCTTTTTGCTGCCAGTGTTGGCACATAGTGCTAACGTCATCCAAAACCAAGCACTCTTCAAGATGATGGTGTGGAATCATCAATCTCATGCAGAAGACCGCACTTGTGCACGGCACACATGCCAGAAACTTGTCATTCAAAAATGCAAAATCAAGCAACAACCCAAGTGTTTTACTGTAATTGTTTTAATTTACACTGATGTACAGTTACACTGATGAATCCACCCTCTCCCCCACAACAGACATTACAATTCTGCATCTCTCTGTTGGTGCTCACACATATTGCAGGACAAACTACAAATGACAGGTGACATCCAATGAACTGCTGCAGGAGGCAACATCCAGGCACAGCATGCCCAAGCAGAAAGAAAAATCAACTGTTCTTATTATTCTTATGTGCATTTTCATACTTCATCCACAAATGGTGTATTAATGAGGTGTCCACTAGCTGACATGGTCTTCTTGCCATCCACAAATTTCTTTGCAGCCTGTAAAGAAAACAGAGCAAATTCACTGACGGGCAATATTTCCAAATATATCCCAGTATTTATAGTCCACCGAAACCCTGCCACAGCTCCGACACTACACAGAACCCCACGCAGCGACTAAACACAAATGCAAGTTTAAACATATGAATAAATAGCCTGCACGCATAATTTAATAACTTTTGTTTTTGTTAGTATAGTCTTCAGGGATATATTTTCAAACTGAGGCTGCCACCAGTGCTCAGAGGAACTACAGTGTTTCTATTTGAAATGAGGTTCAAATGTGAAACTAAAACAATATTTACTCTGTAATGATCTGTATAATCCCAAAAGCCCTTCAGTAAAACGCACTGTCAACATGATCTATTGCATCGCTTCTTAATGAACTGTTGTTTTATTTGGACATGAACAAACTAGTGAGCCTTTACTGGATGATTTATGACTCCAACCCACGCTCTACTACAGATGGGGTACATAAAGTGTGTATATAAGTGTGGTTGGAAATTTACAGGGACATGGATGTCATGGTCATTTTTAATGACTTTTTAAAACTTTTTCAGGGTTGAATGATTGTACAGTATACTTTAATGACTATTTCAAGTTATTCTGGATTTTCTCTAATCCACACAGGGTCAAAAGTATGCATATAACCTCAAATACTTACTTAAAAATAACTTTTAATAAGTGGTGCTGAAGGTTCTACAATGCCTTTTCATTTGATAACGCCTATTAACTTCTCGTTAGTGAACTAATGAGAGAGACTGACTACAGCTGGTAGTTTCTCTTTGCCAACATAGAAAGGATTTGTTTAACAGCACTCACTGGACTGACCACTACTCAGAATAATGGAAAAGTCTAAGGAACCAAGGAAGAGTGGTCCCCACAGAATCATACCAGAAGCTTGTTAATGATGAAAAGCAACTTGTTGAGGTGCAACTTGCTAAGGGACATTTACCAAATATTAATAGGGGTGTATGCAAGTATTTGTATATATAAAGCAGGGCTCTAGACTAACTTTGCGCCCATGGCTAAAAGTTAGTGCCATGGGCCATAATTTTCTAAATTATTAACTAACAATCTTGTGCTTAAAGTGCATTGTCAATATTGTAGAAAATGTTAAACTTAATCATCATCTCGGCCTCCTCTGACGACCTGTTTGCTGTTGCATGCTGCTGACAGGCAGTGGGGAGAGGGGACACTTGGGCAGTGCATTTATTGCAGCATATAATGTGTTTTCTGGATACACTGTGCTTTTTCAGCATTCAAAGATTGATGGCACCGTGTCAGAGCACTGGCTATGAATTTCAGACAGATCAGGCCTTAACTTAACAAAAAAGTTATCAATCGTTCTTTTCATTTTTTCTTATTACCCACAGCTACATCCACTTCTGTCGGGCCAAGGCTGCTCACTAGGGCTGGGTATCATCACTGATTTCTAAAATCCATTCAATTCCGGTTCTCAAAGTCCTGATTCGATTCAATTTAGCCTCAGACAGTCAGAAATATTATAACTCTGATCATTTATCAGTACTGATACACAGAATTGTGAACATCACAGCAGATGCCTTTGTGTGAAAGTAACTGAGAATAAAACACAGAAAAACATGAAGGAGATTTTTCTGGTCTGGCTTTTTATAGCAGATAACCTTAAAAATATTCTGCGATATTCTGCAATTTTGCATAATTTTAAAAAGTTTAAATTTCTTCAGTATTGAACAGCAGAAATTAGGCTTTCTTGTCCGAGGTCATTTAAGTGAAAGAAAAGAAAAAGACAGTGGCCGACAGCGCTGTAAACAACGGTGGACTGGTGGTTAATAAGCGAATGAATAATGCAGAAAACAGAGATTTGAGACAGGAAACTGTTCTTGAAGTACACAGAGAGAGAGAGAGCTGTGCATGAAGTGTGATTTTTATTGTGGTGGAAGCAAAACAGCAAAAGTCAGAGGGAATTCATGACGACATTTATCAAATGTGAAGCGTAGTTTGCTGCTTCTTTTGCAGCTGGCTCGGTGAATTTTGGTTGGAGAGACACAAAACCTGTAGCTCAGAATCAGCGCAAAAAGACGTAAACACAAAGCGGACCGACGCATCAGAATCGCTAAGCTCTGACAGCGTGTCCGTCTACGGGCCGTCGGGCGAGAAAGCCGAGAAAGACAAAGCTGATTCTGATGCGTCGAGTCCGTTCTGTGTTTACGTCTTTGTGTGGAGTGCGTGTACCTGCTCTCATTTGCTGTTTGGTGGTTGTTGAAATAGTTGAAATAGTTGTTGAAATAGTTTTATGAGCTTTAATCTGAGAATCTGGCGTTTCTGGCAAAACACAGTTATATTTTAAAGTCAATTCAGGATTTAATGAATCGATATCGCTTTATTCAAGCTACTCACCTCCCTCTATCCACCTGCACTTTCAACTGGACCACGGCCAATCAGAGAGGTCCCGCTCCTGACTATCTCTGATTGGTTTAGTCCACGATAGGGGCATAATGTGTGTCTGTTGTTCACCACACGGAGAGTTGCAGAGATTTTTTTTTTTGTTGTTGTTACCTGAACAGTTGTTTATTTTTTTAGTCGCACCACTGAAAAATTTGGTCGCACTCTAGAGCCCTGTATAAGTATTTTTAAAGTCTTTAGGATGATATATACAGTGGGGCAAAAAAGTATTTAGTCAGCCACCGATTGTGCAAGTTCCCCCACCTAAAATGATGACAGAGGTCAGTAATTTGCACCAGAGGTACACTTCAACTGTGAGAGACAGAATGTGAAAAAAAAATGAATCCACATGGTAGGATTTGTAAAGAATTTATTCGTAAATCAGGGTGGAAAATAAGTATTTGGTCAATAACAAAAATACAACTCAATACTTTGTAACATAACCTTTGTTGGCAATAACAGAGGTCAAACGTTTACTATAGGTCTTTACCAGGTTTGCACACACAGTAGTTTTGTATTTTGGCCCATTCCTCCATGCAGATCTTCTCGAGAGCAGTGATGTTTTGGGGCTGTCGCCGAGCAACACGGACTTTCAACTCCCGCCACAGATTTTCTATGGGGTTGAGGTCTGGAGACTGGCTAGGCCACTCCAGGACTTTCAAATGCTTCTTACGGAGCCACTCCTTTGTTGCCCGGGCGGTGTGTTTTGGATCATTGTCATGTTGGAAGACCCAGCCTCGTTTCATCTTCAAAGTTCTCACTGATGGAAGGAGGTTTTGGCTCAAAATCTC